TTTCCTTAGCAAAATCATAGTCCAAGAGAATTCTGTCTGAGTTTCATGTTTTTGAGGTTGGGAATTACGTCTTGCACCCAAGAGGAGGAAAATGGTGAGCTTACGACTCAGTTTTTCAGAAGAACACTTAGGAGTTAAAAGCTTCCAAAAAGCAAACCTTGAGGAAAAGTTGAACTATTTACACAATCTTCTGCATAGTTTGATTAAATTTTGCATTACTCCAGAGTTGCCCAAGAATTGTGATGCTTTGAAAATGCTGCAGAGAAGTATTGAAGCAATATTTTGTTTGATACTGTTTTTACTGATGAGTATTAACTGAATGGAAAAGGAAATTGCCTCCTAGATATGTACCTATTAAAGTTGTTTAAAAAAAAAAAAAACAACCAAAAAACAAAACACCAAAACAACTTGGATGTCTCTGGTATTGCAGGAAGACAGGATGTGTATAGCTTGACAAAGTGAAGCTTAACTGAGGAATAGGAGAAATGGTCCAGTGGGCAGTCTGGGCCTCCAGAGACCAAAGTTCAGTTCTTGTTTAACCGTAGTTCTTAGACTTTCTGGCAAGTCATTTAGTCTAGCTTGTGCCTTTGGGAGTATCTCATTTTACAGATGGGGAACTGTCTCAGAAGGGTGTTGAAAATAAAATCCATTAATGACTGTGAAACTATATAAATGCCTTCAATATGCTGAAACTTGGCCATGATTTCAACACGGATTTTTTCCTCTGAAAGTATGTCTGGTTTTATGGATGGTTGCCTTTTGTTCCCTGAAACGGGCTACTAATATGCTTTATTCATGCCTGGAGTTTTTCAAGATCTGTGCTGCTTTCCAGCAATCGTACTCATCTCAATATGCTGCCACATAAGGATTATTTTAGGAATATAGAAGTTGTTTAAAGTGCCTTTACAATTAATGTTACTTGCACCTACTAAAACTCTGTATTGTAACAAAAGTCACAGCAGTAGCATGGGCCAGTAACAGAATGAAACGCTTTGGTGATCAAACATTTTGCTGAATGATAGTTGTTACATATTTTGTTGCATGTGGAGAACGTGGTGTGTATGTGTGAGGCACATATTTTGCAATGTGTCTTCCTTACAGCAAAGCTGCTCTTGTATCAACTCCTCTGTCTCATCCCTGGTTTGCATCTTGCCATGTTCCCTGTTGTCCTTTTGAACAGTCATGTCTTTTTAGATATCTATTTAGATATCTCATAGTGTCTTTCTGCATGTATAAATGCTTGGCTGCATTCAGAGAGAAGTATTATTAGTCAAAGGGAAGGGTCAGAATCAGAACTGCCATGATCAGACTATGATCAACTTTCTGTTGCATTCAAGGGTGTCTGTTATATTCAGCTGAATTTGGCCAGTCATTCTGTTTCTGGTTACGTATGTCTGAGGGCATTTCACATGTGATAATTTTCAGGGCATTTGGTGAAAAATCGTGCTGTATGCATCTTTTGTTACTTATAAAATGGCATTGCGTAGTTTCCACCTTCAAAGTGTAGTTTAATGTGCAGATTGAAAGAAAAGGCACGTAGTTTATATTCTAGTAATCTGACTGGTTTTGAGGTATTTATACCATTATATGTCTAGGCACTAAATTAGAAATGTTTTATGCACAATTAGAATGGAATCAGTCCTTGTCGTTCCATACTTGGTTTGATACATGAAAGACCTGAGATCAAAAGAAGGATTGCTATCAGTTTAGGGGATTCTGCTTTTTTGGGGGTGTTTTGTTTGTGTTTTTTTTTTTTATATGTAAGGTCAGCTGAGGCAGCTGGCTTCTGGCAAAAGTACTAATTCATGTCAGTGATGAGACTGTCAGCATAGGTACTCGCTGAAATGAAATGTGGGTATCTTATAAATCTAAAAACAAGAATATGTCCATTTTATTCTCATTGGTATTAGAACATTCTAAGACTGAAACATACTTTCTTTGTAAAAGAGACTCCCTTTTATAGATACTTCATTCTGCTTAAAGCATCAGCAAAAATTTTGAATCAAAATCAGTAAACAGCACTTCTAATAAATTGCATATAAAAACAGTCCACCTGATGGGTAATAGAAACTTGCATTCAGTGCTCCAGTCTTTGTCCTGCATTGCTTCCAATGCTGTTTGTACTTAAATAGGTAGAACAGACATTTTTGTGATGGTGGTTACCAACTCCTGCAGGTGCCTGATTCTTCTGCACGGATGGTGGTGGAGTTTTGTATTTGTGTATGCGTCGTGGGATTTGAACTGCATAAAGTATTTTACTGAAAGCTTAACCAAACAGAATACAGTGCTGATACAAACAGAGCATTAAACATGCCTGTCTTTAATACAGCCATCTGTTGAGTGCTATAGCAGTTTTTCAAAAGCCTCCCTCAGCATAGACATCAAAGTCTATTCATGCACCTGTGCCTCTGATCTTCTAATATTTTTTTTATTTAAAAACTGCAAAGGGAGAGGAGCAATATTTCAAGATCAGTAGCTTTATTTAAAAAAAAAAACCAAAAAACAACAAACAAACCCAAAAATTCCCCCACAAAACTCATGCTGCCAGTTCAGAAATTGTTAAAAATATCTTTACTTAATATTCAACACGTTATTTATGGAAAAACACTCAACCATGCTTTCATTTTCCTCTCCTCTGAGTAACCCCTGGCCTTGCTAACACCTATTTCCTGCCTCGTCTATTTACAATGCAGCTGCTGAGATCATTTTCTTGATCTGTTGGTCCGATGACATCAGTGAGACCTGTGAACTCCTCCACCGGCTCGCTCCTGGACGGCACAGAGGCATTTCTGTGAGAAGCTGGTTGGTGGAGGGAGGAGCTTCTGTCACCCTGATGCGTTCAGTAGCTGTGGCCCAAAAGAGGGAAACAGCAGAGGTGCCCCTCTGGTAAAGGTCCTCTCAGATGATGAGAGAAACCTGGGGACAGAAAAGGTGGCCCCATGGAGCTGCTGGCTGAATGCAGCCAGGCAAAGCCTGGTGTAGCCCAGACATTTTGCCGTCTCCTTCCTTTCCTCATTTACTTGCTAATTTGCAAAGACCAACTGATTGGTCTCCCAAGTTATTAGTGTGAAATGGTGATCTCCTGATTATCATCTTAATGGCCTAGTACCATACCCTAATGTCTGTTGCTCATGAATTAGGAGGCAGTTGAGTGTCATTTGCTGACATTGGGGAAGCAAGGCCCACCTTCCCCTCTTGTGGCAGAGCAGCCTGGCAAGGCAGGAGGAGGGCCATGGCCGGGTGGGAGGGGAGGCGACCTGTTCCTGGCCACAAGCCCTGTGTGTGATTGCCTCGGCTTAGCAGCAGTGTCAGGAAAGTTCTGGAGTTGCTGCCTGTGGAGAGCAGGGCTTGGCTGGACTACAGCGTTGAGGCACGCTCCCTTCTACCAAGAAGTACCACAGTCCTGCTTCTTTTTCACTTGGGGGCTTTTTGGGGCACAGAGAAACAGAATGGTTTAGGTTGAATGGACCGTAAAGATCATCTAGTTCTAACCCCCCTACCATGGGCCGGGACACCTTCCACTAGACCAGGTTGCTCCATCCAGCCTGGCCTTGAACACCTCCAGGGATGGCACAGCCACAGCATCTCCTTTTCCCATTTTTCTCTGCCAGCCCATGTACCCTGGTTTGGTACCAGCAGGCCTGATCTCATCAAGTCCCGTGTGGGTGATAGGGCCCAGGGGCACCAACAGGCCCCAGTGTCCCTGCCTGGCCCCCAGGGCTCCCCCACCCTGCCCATGGCCCAGGACCCCATGTCAGCCCCCAGGGCCGTCAGACCCTGCCCTGGTGAGGCTGCAGCAGGGATGATCTCCAGCTCCCCATGTCCCTGCCCTGCTCAGCCATAGGCCCTGCCAAACTGGGCCCACAGCCTGGCCTGGGCCTGGCCCTGGTTCGCCCCCTTCCCTGGGGAGGTGCCTAATGCCTAGGGCTGGGGCTGCCCTGGTGCCTCCCTGACTGCCTGTTCCTGGCTGGGGCTATGGGACACAGGACAGGCCTTGACAGACAAGGCCGCTTGAGGCACCCTGGCGGTGGGCATGCAATTTTACCTGTGTGCTTTACTTCCTAAAATAGAATGTCGCTTCACTCAATCCCTGCAATCATGTGACAAGCAAGAGCTATGGATTACATAATGTTCTAGTTACAGTTTAATTTTTGAGAGATGAGTGGCTGCAAAAATTGTCTGTTATGTGTGGAACTCCGTTAAGATACTCAAATCCAGCAATATTTAGATTTACTGGTGAAATGTGTGGTAAAATAGAGGAGAATGTGTAATGAGCTCTTCATTGTGGTGCGTAAACGTACAGGAGTACATTCCCATAATCCATGAAATCTTGAAGTACAGCAGCTTCATACTGAGTACCTGTATTTCATGCTGAGTGAAAGTGATCTCCACAAGAGCAAAGACTCCTTAAAATCTACCAGAATAGTGCGGAAATAAACAAATTTTCTATTTCAGAAAAAGAGGATAAAGCATGTATTTCTTTCTCCCAGTGGGGATACAAAGGGCATATTATAAACACGTGTTAACCGGCCATATAAGCTGTGTGTGTTCACTTCCCCGCTTCTGTGACCAGAGCTGATGTGTCTCGCTGGGATCTGAATAGGCCACAGTGTTGTTTTTCACATTTGCATAGCTGGGCTCAGTATAAATTACAGTAAAAAAGTCACTCTATACTACCACTTTTTAACTTTCTTCCTTGTCTCCTTGGAAATAGTGGTATAAATGTATGTCAGAACAGTGCTTTGAATATTTGATTTGTAAAATTGACGGGGTTCAAGCTTTTCAAGTGTTAAGGGCACACACTTCTCTTCACTGAAGGTACAAGGTCCTCAACACCTCTTTGCAAAAGGAGACACTGTTGGTAGTGAACTGTAGACCTACCAATGTGGCTGCCTACACCTTGGCTTCACAAGTTTTGGAAACTTTTTGTTTCCTGCATGTGCAGTCACTTGCTTTGAGAACCATTGTAAGTTTTCTTCTAATTCTCTTCTTGATTGCAGATTGACTTGGAGCCAGAAGGCAGAGTGTATGTCATCATAGACCTTTCAGGATCGTCAGGTGAAGGTAGGGGCTTCCACTATTTTATCTTATCCTTTCATGAATGGAATCTTCCAAGGGCCTCTGAAACAGAAGGATTAGAGGAGGTGCTGTTCCAATATCCTCTTAAATCTGTATGAGCTCCAGTTAAAGTGAATACATTTTGATATATCTGTCTGTGAGTCAATGAGCAGTTGCAGTTCATCTAACCCTGTTAATCACAGATGGTAACAATATCAGCTAAAAGGACAGTAATGAAATGAGAATAGTTTAGTAGTATGAAGTTCCAGAAGAAACTACCAAATTCTTATTTTTGGAAGAAGGCTAGCCATTATGTAGGTAGAAATCGCAAGATTTCAAAGGTGGGGGAAGAGTTTATTTTCTTTTTAAATTATTCTAATATTTAATATTTTTTCCACTAAATGTTTTCTTTTTCAAGTAAAGTAATGACCAAAACATTGTAATGGTAAGAGGTGTTTTCATTTTTATGATACAGCAGTTACATGTTGGGACAAAAAAAAAAGCAAAGATGGAAGAGAAATATTTATTGAACTCTTAAGATGTTTTTCTGCTGTTAAGTGGCAACAGAGTCAGGTGGTATGGAAAGAAACATATTTTGTATATGGTAAATTATGTATATGGTGGGAATAAGAGAATTTATGAAGAAGCAAATCTGTATCTTAGTCATGCTCTCAATGACAGCCTGACTGGCTGAAACGGCCTAGATAGCTGGTTTGGGTTTGATTATTTTAAATGATGTCCACTGATCAGCTTTCCCCAGTAGTTCATAGAGCTCAACTAAATGAGGTTAGCAGTACGTAAAGAAGATTCACATAAACCCTGACAGGAGCTAAAACAGAAGATGCTATGAAATGAAATTATTTGGCCTGGCACAGTTTAGAAACAGGAGAAGAATGCATTTATATTTCTGTTCTACATAACGAATTGCTGTGCTCTGACCAATTACTAACACTAGCTTGCAAAACCACATATTGCTTCAAATCCTGAATTTTAAAAGCAAAGCAAACAATTATTTGAACTTCATCTTATACCCACATAAGATATGCTCTTCCTTTTTTTATTCCTGCATATTGAAGAAAATATCAGTTTAATAGTAGTTTCTACTTATCTTGCTAATTGGCATGCCAGTGATGAAACTAAAATGTGGTTGGTTGGTATGGTTCTGTCATTGGTGTGGTTCTGTCACCATTGGTGAGGTTCTGTCATAAGGCAGGTGGATATTCTTCCAACCTGCCATTGATAGTTAATTGATACCCAGATGTCACTGTTCCATCACAAGGTGCATTCAGGTGTGTCAGACTGTCAACGAGCAGGAAGAATGGTGTCATGTGGTTTTTCAAAAGTTCTTTAAAACTCTATAACCTTTTATACAGGAAAAGAAAAAAAGGCTATGGTAATGTCTCTTATATTATGTGGTGCATTACCTTGTGACACTTGAAAGGTGCTTGGAAAGAAATTTGCAGAACTAGAATTTGTGTCGCTACATCAGTGTTGAAGGGGATCGCTCAAATGGAAACAAGCCACTGAGGGAATACAGTTCATGAAATGCTTCTTATGGGAAGCCCTTGGGTAGACCAAGAGGCTTTAGTTAGGGTGAATTTGGTAGAACCCCGGAGAAGTTGTGCTTACATAATGCAATTGAACTTGTGTAGTTTTAGAGCTTTCCCATACAATTAAATAACCGTGAAAAAGTGTTGTGTAGAAGTATTGCAAAATTCTGTAGGGAAGTTATGGTTTTCCTCACAAGGGAGATTGGACCAGGTTTGTACAACAGTTCGTAAACAGTTTTTTGTGGTGTTTTGTTAGTGATGTTTTGAAATCCTATTTTTAGACTGCTTTATTGGGGCTGAGGCCTAGCTAATTTTGGATGAGTCTCATTTTGTTTCAGCTGCCTTAGTGAAGCACCTTGTTGAATATAACAACTGTATGCATCCTTCTGTAGTGAACAGAAACACTTAACCCACACAGAAACTAACTTAGGCACTTTTGAAACATGTATTTCGTTTGATTGATGTATATATACATATATAAATACATATGTAAATAGAAATACATCTGATATGTATTTTATGCATTTCAATGGGGCAGTTCACTGTAGTTGATCTGTATTGGTTGACTATGAAAGGAACATCAGATTAAGGTTAGACTAAATGCATGACTTTTGAGTGGCTAGGGTTGGTTGAGGTGATTGCTACTCTTGACCTAATTTGTTAACCGGGATCTTATTTTTGGACTCCAGTCTTCATTGTAAGTAGCAACAGAGTACATAGCATTCTTTTCATGCTGCACTAATGGGTATCACTGTTTCATCTCAGATTCTGGAGGAGAAAAAATTGGCAATTAATGAAAATGAAAATACCTGTAGAAACAATTTTAACTGGAGGGAGTAATCATGTTGCACGTTTCTCAGTTAGCAGTATTTAAAACATGATGGGCAATAAAAAAAAATTTCAGCCATTGAGATACAGTATATACTTGCCAAACAGTATTGTCTTGTAATTCTGTGTACTGAAAATTGGACCTGATTATTCTATGTGATATATGCAGGTTTCTAATTATCAGCAATCAATAATGTAACTTTAGTTATCTGGCACTTCTAGAAGATTTTTTTTAAGATAGGTATCCAAATTTTATTTTGGTATAATTGACTTAAGATTAGTTGAATGGGCAGAGTTGAATTAGTTCAATTAGTTGAATTAGTTAATATGGGCAGAGAGCTTTGTCCTCTATTAAATTGTCTCTAAGATGCAAAAGTCCTAATTTTGCAAGTGAGCCCTTATGTGAATAAATTTCTGTATAAATTGAAAGTTTACATATAAACCCCTAAATGGTGGATAAAGAAGAAACATTCTCATTAGTAGCATATTCTCAATACTTTTAGTAAGCTTTTACATAATACTGACTTAAGATGTTGTTACTTTATACCTCTTAAAATTCAATTGTCCCTTAGTCCCAGCTGCTGGATTGCTTATCCTTCTGCATATTTGCACTTGCGTGGCAAAACAATGAAGACAGTTCATTGTTATAAGCTGACTTCCTCAACAAAAGTACACAATTTCTCTTTCCTTCCCCCTCCTCTAAACTGAATCTTTCATGGACTTTCATCACTTTGTGTGGCTTAGGTGCACAGAATGAATGGAAACATGGCAGATTACAAAAGGAGGTAAAGAGTACTTCAGTCTCTCCCTGCCCCATTGAGACAGACTTGTTAAGAGCCACCCTTAGATATCAGTATCAGCATCTGGCAGGTATTTTTATGTGGAACAGTAGAAAGAAGGGTTGAGTTGCTGGCTTTGCTACTTGCAATTTTTTTCCTATTCTAAAGACAAGCTGCAAGTCCATGGGAAGTTATAGAGCTGTGCCAGCTTCTCTGCCACTTTCCTATATTCTAAAATTTCCTTCAGAAGCCACTTAAAGGAGAAGCTCTACTTCTCCAGCACTAACAGTGCACTTGTGAGGGGGTAGCCTGGAAAGCCCAAGGCTTTAGACTGCCACTGGATATCTTGCAGCACTGCCAGCTTTCACAGTGGATCATTCAAATCTCAAGGTATTTGGATTTGTTCTGAAAACATCATTTTCTAGAACTTGCTCCTATTCAATTCTAGTTTTTGAAGCAGAAAAAGGTTGGAAGACATAAACACTAAAGTCTGAGAAGTGGAAAGCGAGCTATGTAAAAAGCCTTTACAAGAACAACAACAAACCTAACAAACATTTTTGTCATCACCTTTTTTACACTATTCCTGTTTTGAAGCCTGCTTATAGCTTCTGAATATTTGCTCTGCACTGAGGGGGGGGGGATGTGAGTAACTATTTACTTTAGCTATTTTTTGTAAATTCTGTAGTAGGAAATGTCTGGCACGCATCATAAAAAGAAAATGCTAAATGAACTGTTGATCACGCAGAAGGTGATGTCCTCAAAAGTTAGGATTTAATTTTTTTCTGCTGATATTTGAACATTCCCATATTGTGCTTTCAAAACTAGTTCTGCAAAATACTTTAGCATGCTTTGCTGGTGTGGACATAGAAGAGGGGGACAAAAGAGCTCTTAAAATACATATTTAAAATTCTCCATTTTAAACTGTGTTACCAGTATTTCCGTAACACCTGTGATTCAGGTCTTTACGATCTATGCTGAAATTGATCTGCAGGGTTATTTACCTTCTGTAGATTTACTTTATTTAAAATGGCTCTGTGTGTTCAGTGTAAATATGTATTTGTGTCTCCCATGAATGGAAACAGCTGTGTCAGTGGAAACTTCCCAAATGTGGATACACACTAAGGTATCCATTCACAGGCTAAAATAACTGCAACAGTTAATCAGTAAAGTTTGATTTATAAAAACATTCGTTTATAATTTTAATAATTTATTGGATTTTTTTAAGTGTTGACAAGTAATAACTGCCCAGTCAGAACTTAAGGGTATTTTAAAAACTAATTGCTTTGGTCAAACAAACAAATGGAGCTTCTGTGGACCTGACACAGCATCCGGTAGTATTAGTTGGAATTTTTTGCTTAACTTCATTGAGCCATGTACGTTGCCATATGCAAGCACATGGGATCTTTAAGAATAAGCAGTTCTGATAACTTGCTTTTGGGAGACCAGATCAAAATATGGGTGATTGTTGTTGTTACTCTACCAGAATTTGTCAGACCTGCAAAGCATGTAATCAGTCAGTTCTGGTATTAACCAAACATCTGGTGACTCCACCTTATATATGCAGCTATAAGAAAAACAAAGTTTGTAGTAGACCTGTGTTTGTAAGAAGTAAGTAGCCTGTGAAAGATCTATCGTATTTATTCTCTGTTACTTTGCAAACTGGGTGTAATGATTGCAGGGGTTTTTAGTCTTGCATCTTCAACTTCTGCCAGAGCTGTGGAGAAGGGTGTCTGTTCAGCAGTCTTTCAATGAACAGGGGACTCTATAAGACATGCTGTCTTATTTCCCCAGTGCTGCTTGTTGTCCGAGGTCATATTGATTTTCTGTATTAATTCCGTGGTGCTGTAGC